TTTTTTTTTTTGAAGCTTAAACTGTTTATAAGACTAGATATAAGACTAGATTTATCAGTTTCTTTTTCGCTTTATTTATGAACTGTTATACACTGTTTTTGTTTAGACAATTCAGTTACATTCATCTATTCAGACAGTTTATTTTGCCTTACACTATCAGTTTACTTTGTTGTATCAGTTTTCAAAACTCTTTTCTAAACCAACTAATTATATTAGTCTAATGTCTATTACAGTAAATTATTTCGTATTGCCGACAAAAGATAAATTTTTCTCTTCTTTGTTGAGCCAAAACTATAATTATTTAGCCAATTTTTTCCAGCGGAATCAGTCTCATTCAATCCAACTCAAATGTTGAATATTTTATATTACAAAACATTTGTCTATACTATTTATTTAGCCAACATATAAAAGTAAATTAATCTTTGTATAACACAGAATATAATTAATATTATCAGAAACTTACAGTATGCACACTGATAATTTAGTAAAACTGCTTTATTTGATCACTACATAACAACCGATGATAAACTGCTTTGCTGTTGGTTTATTGAACATCACACAGAGCATAACAGTTGTTATAAATTTAAAAATAAAAACTATTATACAGAATTATACAAAACGTTGTAAAACCTTGTCTTCCTTTAAATAACCAATATTAATCATGTCAAACAAAAAAAAAATTTACTTACCTAATAAGAAACTTAACTACTGCAACAAAAGTACTGCTTAAAGATTCAGTCTGAAGAAAATGTTATTTGTAGACAGATGAGTCACCGCTGCAGTTTAGACAGAATGTTAAATTTTAAAAAATCATCAGATATCTGTAAAATTTCAGTACAAACTAAACCACATTTGACTTTTATGTATCCAAGTAAACCCTAAAACTTTTTTTGCAAATATTCAATAAAATAATGATAACAAAGTGTGTTAAATTCATTTTTTTTTTTTTGCTTTTTAAAGAAAAACTCTCAATAATTTTTATTGCAAATTTAAAATCTTATTAATTTCAAGCAGTGTCTAAATCAAACAAGATGGCTAGGGTTAGAAGTTATCTCAAAATTGTCTCAATGAAGTTTTTTCATTTTTATCTAAATTTTTTAGCAAAAAAAAAAAAAAAAAACAGTTTTAGCAGAAATAAATCAGATTAGTTTTGAGTACAAATTCAAGTTTTCAATATACTATAGTGGTAACTTATTCACCTACAATTAATATTTTTCTGAAGATAAAGGTCTAGTTTAACGGTTTTGCAAAAGTTATAGTAATTCTTCTTAAAATTATAAAATAATCTAAATAATTGTTCTTTTTTTTTCATAAACTTTTTTTAATAAACTTTTTTTTTCAAATTTTTATTAATATCAATTTATTTAGCAATAATACAAAATTTTCCAATGTTAAAAGCCTTACTGTAAGCAGATTTTTCAAGGATTTATCTAAAAAATGTCAATATACTATTGAATGCTATAAACAAAGCATTAGGCAAAATCTCCTTTGGTTATTCTAATTTTTATTCGTTACGGCAGTCAGTATTTTCTTTTCCCCTCAATTCTGTTGTATCTTAGGAAAGAGAAAGAGCTGAACCAAAAGTAGTTTATTGTTTTTTCTTTCTTTGTCAAATATTACAAAGGTAACTTAGAAAAAGTGAGCAATGAGAATTTGTCATCATAGAAAAAAAGATGTTTTCTGTAGTTTTTTTTGTTTGTAGTTTAAGAAATTGCAAGAAATTGCAAGAATAGTAAAGCAAAACAAAAGAAAAACTCATTAACAACAGAAAATACATTGAAACATACTAAAGAATAATAATACAGTTTTTGGTGTTTTGCACAGAAAATTTTAGATTTGGATTACCATTATACGCTTTATACATAATACTTTTTGGGTGTACAAAATCGGACCTCACCGTTATTCTTAAGGTCGATTTTCAGCCGACAGTCAATCGCCATTAAACTGTCATTCAGATGTCACCAATAACAAAAAAAACTACCTTAATTTCTTGACCAACTGTTACTGCTTAACGTCTTGCTCAAATTCTTATTCTTATTCTTCTTATTATTATTATTACTGTTCTTATTATTATTGTAATTATTATTATCAGTATTATTATTAGTAGTGGTATTTTTATATTATTATTATTATTATTATTATTATTATTATTATTATTGTTATTATTATTATTATTATTATTATTTTCATTATTATCATCATTACCACTGTCATTATCATTACGATTACCACTGTTAATACGACTATGACCATTTTTGTTATAATTTTAAGTTAAAGCAGCAATAAGGAGTAATTAAAGCCTAAAAGCTGATACGTACTGTCACGTATTATTTTAACAACATTTTGTCTGTAAAATTGACGTCAGTCTTAAGACTAAAGTTTTGATAGCTTCATACTCAGATTTATATTTTATCATTATTTAATTCAAAGAAAACTTAGTAAATTACTTAGCTTAGCCAACTGCACTATATTCGGTTATAAAAGGTAATGACAAAAAATTCACTTTTTTTGTACATCAAATTAGTATATTTCACTCAAAGTAAAATTTTTTTTGTCAAAAGTTGTTAGTTTATTTGCTTTTAAAGCTTACTTTTTAACTTCTTTATATATTCTTTTTTGATTGACACACTCAAACTGTTAGATGCCAACTTCAAAATTTTTTTAACTTCAGATTTTTTTTTAGGAGGTTTATACTGTTTTGAACAGCATAAACCTCCTTAAAAAACAGACAAAAAATTTATGCATTAAATGAAATTGTAAGACTTATCAGTAGACAGCATTTATAAGCTGTCGAAAAAAGATTTCTGTTCTACATGGTAGAAAATGCAGAAATTTGTGACGTCAAAAACGTGATTTGACAACAAATAAAAATAACATAATAACATCATTACGTTACAATCAGTCGATTAAACAACAAAAACTGACGGCGGTAGATCAGCATTAATCATAAAACTTAATTGCAAATACAGAAAAAAAAGACAATAATTTTATGAATAAAATAAATTTATGCTAATGACTTATTTGTCTAAACAGGCACCGTGTAGTGCTCAATAAATTTTTGACATAACCTTCAATTTTTTTTCTTATCTTTTAATGTTATTAAGCGGCTTCTTCGTCCGTGCTTTACAAACATCGGCGCATGTGAAACCTGTGGTCGATAGCGACCAAATTGAAGCGGACATCCACGTTTTCTAAACAAACGTTTAAGAAGACCAGTAGATTGTAAGAAATTCCTTGCTGGATAGCCATAAAAGTTATGGCCATGAAACAGGTGGTAATAATAGGGATTATTGCTTCGACGATTACAGTAGCTACCAAAACAGCGATTATCCCATCTTCCATGAAATATGTTTCGCCATGGAAAGAATCGGTTAAATGGACGAAATATTGGAGGTCTAATGTATGGTCTAAAAAAATTTTTTTAACTTTTACTTATGAGACAAAAGTTTGTCTTTTAGCAGACAGAAAATTTTATTGGCATTTGTAGCACAGTGTTATCAAAAGATGAAGCTTGATTTCTCATAAAGCTTTTTATTATATATTTTGCGCAGAATTACTCAGTTATGTGGAAGGTATATCTAGGATAAAAAAGTGCATTTCTAGGCATCTGATTACAGTTCGATTAAAAGGGAATACAAAAAGTGTAATTCCCCTAAGTTAAATTCTGAAATGTACCTTCGTGGCTTAATCCAAGAATTCTCTGGCTCCAATTCAGCTGAAGTGACGTCAGCGTCTGCGGCATCTTTAAAACTAAGTGGTTCTGGTTCAATTTCTTCATCACCTCTTGGTAATTCTGTAGCTGTGGGCAATTTCCTTCTGATCTCCACAGGATAAATTTTGATAGATCTGGGTTCTTTTTGCAGCATTTCTTTTTTTATTACATTAAACCTATTCTCTCGGATTTCTAGTATATTATGAGAACCTACTAGCGACACTGTCATTTGCACTAAGCAGAGTGAAAAAATTGAGAAGACCATTGTGAAGGCTCTATAAAATTAACAGTTACGTTCAGTTTTGTATTGAACCACTAAATGATATGATTTCTTTACAGTAATCTTGATCGTTAGTACAAAAAAATTTAAGCAGCAAGTTACGTCTAAAATGAGTAAACAGAAAAAAATTGTTTTCCCGAAGATAGAAACTGAAAATTTCATCATATTAAAACAGTTGTAACCAAACTGAGCGACCGGCAATAACGTTGTAACCTCAAAAGTGACAATAATTTTTACTGATCTTAAAGTGTTACATAATTTATCTAGTGATAATGCCATATCTTTAAAACTTTTGCAGATATTGAGTGATTAGGTGGATAATTAAGACTAAAAACAAATCTAAAATATTCAATTGAAAGAAAAGTAGATGAAGAAAGAAAACAACTGAGCAGTTTATTAGTTTGTTTTATTGTAATATTGATAATACAGTATAAATTTTCAATAAACTAAGCATTGCAAAATGAAAATTAGATGATAAAAATTTCTAACATTTTTAAATTATCAAAAACTGGAGAGCAAAATGCGAGAGCTGCATACAAGGGATGGTAACCGGTGCATTTTGGTGGCAAAATGTTTGTGCTAAGTCCCTAAATGCTAATGAATTGTTTGAAGTCAGGTAAAATAGAGTATTTTAAAACCAAAAATAAAGAACTTTTTTTGTTGTTATTGTTCTGATTTGTTTTATTAAAATGTTGACGACATCCGAACAACGGATAATAGTTGTTCGGTGACTGCTGATGGTTGTTGGTTGACTGTCAGCAGAGAACAACGTTCACTTAGTTAATTGAACAATACCGTTTGTTAAGCGAACGATACACTGTGCAACAACTGTTCGGTAAGCAAATCTGTCAGATATGTTTACCATTTAAGTTCTACCAAAAATAGCTTTTAAAATTTTTGTCAAATTTAGAATTACTTTGGTTTGTTATTGTCTGCAACAACAATAACAACAACAGACCAATCAACTTTGCCACTGAATAGAAAAAGGAAACAAAAGACAACTAAGAGTCAAAATAAAAAAGCAAAGGAAAAAAAATTGATAATAATAGTAATAATAAACAGTTGTCACTGTTTTACAATTTATTTGCAAATCATATTGCTGATGAAAATAGTTTTATTCTTCTGTTTTTTTTTCTGTTTTCTATTTTTGTTTTTTTTTTTTTTTCGCTTATTGCATGATTTTTTCATGTTTTATTAACTTATTTTTGAATTATTTTCCACATTCAACCAGTTTTAACGTTAACTAATTTTTAATAACTGTTGTTTTTTGTCAGAACTTCTCAAATTTTCCGTCTTTTTTTTACAGTCTTTGCAGACAATATCTGTTAGTTAAACACTAAAATTTGCTTAAATTTCAATTTTATACCTTTCTCAATTGTTTTTGAACTGTATCAAATGAACTATCCAAATACAAATAGAGATTTGCTAACTGTTAAGACAGGCAGAATGTGGCAGTTTTTTAATAACGTCAATGGCAGTTTAGCGGTTAAAAAAAAACTACTTATTGATTTGTTATCACTTATTACTTGTTGATCAGTCTTCTTCTTAACTAAAGACTTAGATGTGTTCACAAAATAGTAGCAAGTATCATTTGCCAAAAAAAAATTGACCTCTTTTAAAACTTTTTTTAGACTAGTAGAAATCCTATAAGCAGTCCCTCTTTTTTTTTTGCACCTATAACAACTGTGCAAAAGACACTATGCACTGACTTCTCCGAAATCTTGCAGAAATCATTTCAATTTTCTAATACCTTTTTATTTTATAAACATTAAAAGGTGGTTTAAAATGTTACTTTAAGTGCAGTGCAACAGGTCTTTTAAAAAAATAGAAAGTATCCTATAGAAAACTACCTTTTATATTCATTGATCAGTTAAAACAGCACCTCCATACTGAAGCAACTGCAGTTCTTTTAAGAAAAAAAAGTGATTGGCTGACAGTTTCACAACATTAATGTTGAAATATTTTAAGGCACAAAAGAATGCTCAACGAAAACAACTGCCGGTTCCTTAGAAAATCTTGCTCATTTTTATCCAACTTTAAGAGCACGACATTTTTTAAAAATACCTTTAGACAATTCTTCTAACTTATTGAAATGAAGTAAATGTAAATGCAAAGTTACTAAATTTAAAGCAGTTCTAAAAAGAACCTTAAAATTTATCAGGCGACTTTTTCATCTCAAAGATTCCCCGTTATATTTTTTTGTAATACAGCTGTTTTGACAGTTTTAAACCTTTATAAGACATTTTTATTCCGTCTATTCTGATAAGTAGAAAAAAATGAACAGAAGTCTATTAATGTTATTGCTGTCATCATTGATAACAACAACTTTGTCTTCGTACATTTACAGCTATTTGTTTGCGGTTCTAATTTGTAATCATATTGATAGTGTAATCTTGTAAGATGATCAGTCTTTTCAAGACCATATTTTTTCTTAATAACTGTATCTACTTATTAGCTTTTTAAGTAATTAGCAATTCAGTTAATTGTCTGCTCAGTTACCTCTAATTTCCAATTTTTTAATTAAACATTGCGTCTAAGCAATTGTCTTTCAACTGTCTTGAGTTACTTTTTAAGGTTGAAATAAAAGTTTAAAAATAGACCAGAGCGAGAATTGAAAAAATTTCTATAGGTTGAGGTAAAACACAGATAATAGTTATATCAAAGTTCAATACAAATTTAATTTGAAATAAACAAGAATAGAGAAAAAACATTTATAGTGTATTACGGTGAACCTCTTTACACTGAATTGGTAAAAATTTGCGACCAACCAAATATTAGTGAGCAACTTTGTCATAAAAGCAAAATTTGTAACAAAACGATAAGAAATTTTCGAGTATATACCTTCTTTTCCGAAATTTTCATATTTTTCTGGCAGGTAATAGCGGCACCATTTCTGATGATTATACTCTATACATCATTTTGGTTTTCCAGTCATTGCTGATACTTTCAGATTTAATAAATTTCCCCCTCGGGGTATAGAAAAAAATGAATTTCTTTATTATCTTTTCTTGTCTCTTTATACCTTCCTCGACCAAGTGGATTGCTTCCTCCGCTATTCAGTTATTAAACGGCTTCAACTGATTCTAGGATTGTTTTTATTCCACTTTTCTAATACATCAGTATCTACTCGCTCAGGACGCACTCTTCAATAATCTGGCTCCAACGCAATTTTTTATGGCATTTCCTCTTAAATTTTGTTTTTTTTATGATCTGTTTTATTTTCACTTAGCAGGATAGAACCGCATAGTTATCTTCTATATTATTTTCTTCCTGATTGATTTTTACTATTAATGGAAGGTTTGGATCCAAATTTTCTATCAAATATAAAACTAACATTCTGTATTTACTCTATACCTGGGCGACGACACACCTCATAGGCGCTTTCACATATTTCTCGTTGTACCGTTGGACCTCTAGCTTGAACCGCTGTTGACTTCCCCAGGATCGTTTGAGGATACGTGTGTTTTGATTTTTATAACAGAAATGAGGCTCATAATATTGCAGTCTTCCATAACCGTTCGCAAAAGGCAAAGAAGGTGAATGTGCGTCAGTGCACAGCATCTAACAAAAGCTTTATAAGCAAAGAGCAGATCGAGGTCTTTCCTTCCTTCTGACCTTCTTTCTTTTCTCAATTCAGCAAAGCTGCTTTTGTTTCTTTCTACAACCGTATTTTTGCTCTCGTTGGTAGGAGATTTGAAAAAAAACGCTAATATTTTTAAATATTCAAAGTGTTCTTCAATATGCGTAATTATCTGCTTGAAATTATTTGTATTAATGCTGTATTGTTGTGGTAAATGATAGTGGAATATCCCTGTTTGTAGAGACCTGACTCACTTAACTGAGGTCAGCTATTTGTATGATACTAAAGTGTATCGTTGATGAAGACAATTTTTAGATGCTGAGATTAAAGACAACGAGGTTCAAGCAGAATAGGCAAACGGGATTTATAGCATAATTCAGGATAATAGGAGAAAGAGAGTTTTTGGAAGAGGAGTCATATTGCAGCTCAAATGACTAAAGAAAATAAAAAGGACTTTTCTAATTCTTTCTTAGCAATGGCTTTTTGATATCCAGGCGTAATTTCAATAATGTTTTTGAGATTACACTGGCAAAGCTGCTTCTAGTAAACAAACGTTGATTTTTTACAGCATTAAAAATGTATCGGCTAATAAATAATTTGATTTATTGAACCGTTGTCGACAGCATTGTAGAATTGTAGATCTGGAATATTTCCAGTTTCTTCGGTTACATAACTTTTTGTATCTGAGTAAATTTTTTTTATTACTAAATAAGCACATATAACATTTAGGTCATTTGAACTTCATTTAATCTTCAGGTTTCATGCTTTGGAGCAATAGTTTACAAACAGCCATATAACTTTTGTATGTTACTGAGCAGCAAGACTGCTGATTTACCATTATCGTTGAATCGCCAACACAGTTTACAGAATAAACAAAACCTAAAAGCTGCTGCTCTGTCCGAACTGAACTGTTATTTGTTACGCAGTATTCCAAAATAGAAAGAACTGAAAAAAATCAAGATTCTGAAAAAGCAATGCTACTTTCATGGTTATTGAACCTCGTCGATAACCAAGTAATTGTTTTTGGTGATGTGAATTATCAGATGAAATTTCACCACTTTTATTGTTAACTAAACCACTAAGAAAAGAGATCATTTGTACAGTATGGGATACGACAATACTAACAAACTTTGAGAAATGGCTTATTGGCAGTGGATAGAAGAAATTACAATATTTTTCTGACACTGCATTTAAATTATAAAGTGAAACAAATGTTTTGGTGTTACAAGTTAACATGTTCGAAAGAGCACTTTTCTTTCTAATCTCTCCAAATCCATTTTGAAAATTTCTAAGTAGATTATTACCAATTGCGCATGAAATAAATTACAAATTTATCACTTGGTCAAATTCTATCAATTTGAAGAAGTTT